AGGACCAGAGCTGGAGCCGGCTCAGCAACAGAACGAAGTCGTATTGGATCATGGCCCGAAGTATAAAATAAATACCCACGGGTCCAAACGGACGTAAATAAGTGATTGATAAGGAAACGGGGGAAGAGGGAATCTGCTCTGCGGGAGAATCCACGTGGTTCTGCCGACACTCCGTCCTTGGGGAGGGGAGGGGAGCGTCCCCCCTCCTTGGGTGCGGGGTGTGCACGGCGACCTCCTTCCAGAGGACAGTGGGGAAGGGGGGTAGCAGATGCACAGTGGAGAGACCTGACAGACACACCTGCGCCAGGTGACCAAGGTCAGCGTCCACGGTGCAGGTCACGTGACAGCACGCACCCCGGAGGGGACGTGATGAGACAGGCCCTTCCCCTCTGTGGTCTTCACTGAGGGACGTCCTGAAAAATGCCTGACTGGTCCTCAAAACTGTCAAGGTCATTAAAGACAAGAAGGTTGGGACTTCCCATGTGGCACAGTGGTTAAGAATCCGCCTGCCAATGCAGGGGACACGGGTTCGAGCCCTGCTGTGGGAAGATCCCACATGCCGCGGAGCAACTAAGCCAGTGCACCACAACTACTGAGCCCACATGCTGTGACTACTGAAGCCCATATGCCTAGAGCCCGTGCTCCGCAGCAAGAGAAGCCACCGCAATAAGAAGCCCGCGCACCGCAACTAGAGAAAGCCCGCACAGCAACAAAGACCCAACACAGCCATAAATAAATAAATATATATATATAAATAAATAAATAAATTCATTTATTTAAAAAAAAAAAAAGACAAGGTCTGAGAGACTGTCACAGTCCAGAGGAGCTCTGAGGAGACATAATGACTACATGCCATGTGGGGTCCTGGATGCGGTCCTGGGACAGCAGAAGGACACCAAGGAAAACTGAGGAAGTCTGAATAAACTGTGAGCTTTCAGTCAATCAGTGTTGGTTCCTTAATTGTGACAAATGCACACGCTGATTTAAGACGTCACAGAGAGGAAGCCGCGTGCAAGTTACACTGGGACTGTCGGTATTATCTCCGTCATTTTTCTATTTATATGCAAACACTGTCCTAAAATAATATTTACTTAAACGAACAGCTCCCCAGTGCCAAGAGGCACTAGAGGGGGAAACGGTGACCCCGGTCAACCGGAGACAGGGGCTGGGAGAGCAGCTGGGCCCCCGCAGCCCTACGCGGTCGTCCTCGGGCTGCTGGCCGCAGTGTTTACACAGCTCTCTCCCCTCGGGGAGCCCCGAGCACATTTTTCAGATGAGAAAACTAAAAGAAGGGAGAGAGAGGATGCTTGACCGGGTCACATTTTTGTTTAAGAACCAGGAATGGAATGTGCATTTTGGGTTCTGGTTCTGTCGCCAAATCTCAGCTCTGGTGGCCACTCCTTGTCTGGACCTGATGTTCTGGGCGCTTCCATCCCGGAACTGGCCTGGACTGACCATCTGGCTCTGTAGCCAAGGGGCCCTGGGTGTGTCCCCTGCCAACCCCGGATCCTTCCTCCTCAGAGGGGAATTCGGTAGAAGAAAGAATTATTTCAAAAAGGCAAAATGAGAGACAACACAGTAAACGATGGCGGTCCAGCAACTGTGACAGAACAGAAAGGCCCTCCAATTGCTGCCCGTTTGTCCTAAAGCTGAGGTCGTGGTCACACCTGCGCTGGAGCCTCCTAGCCAGGCCAGGTGGCCTCACCCTTGCTCGGAAATGGCAGCCTGGGCACAGCAGAGGGATGTGCTCTCCTAAAGCACACAGGACTCAGGGAGGCAGGAAGGGCCCCAGGAGGACGGCAGGTCCTGGGAGGAAGGCGGCAAAGGCAGCAGTTGTGGCTGCTGGGAGACAAGCAGGAGAGCACGGAGCCCGGCGGCGGCCCGGCTGAGCAGCTCTGGCCACGCGGCGGGAGAGCAACAGTGCTGCCCATGAGCCGCCGGGCTCCCGCCCCTGAGGAGGCCCCAGGGCCCCTGGCTCACGGCTGGGCCTGGGACAAGGGTGTCCAAGTCAAGACGGGCCTCTCCAGGGTCAGTGCCCAGCCCAGCCACCCACCTGCTCGTCCTCCCGCCCTGGACAAGGCGGCGGCCCTGTGGCCAGGACACTCACCGCTGGCCACCCGTCTGCAGCTCCAGCAGCTCGGGCAGGGCGTCCCGCAGGGGCTGCAGGTCCCCTACCACGACCGTGGCCCTGCGCCTCTGCTCCGCCTTGCGCTCCTGCTCCGCCAGCCTCGTGGCTTCGATCTCTGAGGAAGGGGGATAAGGGGTCAGTGAGAGGGGACCCAGGAGGACAATCGCCCGGCCGCCGCCCTCAGCGGCGTCCCGACTCCCAGCCCGTAGAGCCCGAGCTCGGCCCGGACCCCGGGGGCGGGCTGGCTGCCAGCGGTCTGCTGCCCTTAATCCCAGAGGTGGCTGTCGAATTACAGGCTGATGAGGAGACAGGCTCAGGCGGGGAGCGGACCCTGGGAAGGCCAGGCCGGCTGCGGGAGCAGGGCGGGCAGAGGGAGGGGCCGCACAGGCAGAGCAGCCGGCCCCTCCCGCTCTGCTTCCCTTGTGCCTCCTAGGGACACGCCCAGGAGGGAGAAAGAGGTCCCCATGGGAGACGTCAGCAGGCAGGAGGGTCCCCAACAAGGCAACAGGGTGAGAGTGGCCAGGTCCAAAGCGAGAGGAAACATGCACCGCGGGGTCTCGAGGGGGCTCCTGCACTGGTGGGGGGCCTGGGAAGAGGGGTATGGGCACTGGGACAGACCCTGGGGAGGGGGCGGCACGGCCCGGGGGTCCAGGGTGCCGAGCAGAGGGCAGGGCACGGACGAGCCACCGGGGTGAGGCTGTACCGGCTGGCAGGGCTGCGGCCTCTACAGAGAAGGGGTTCGGCAGGGCCTGGACAGGGACGTGGCCTCAGGATCTGACTTTCATTTTTAAATATATGTATTTCAAAATTGCTAATAAAACACGTACTCAAATGCGTTATTTCCAGAGTGTGGCTCGTGGAAAACACCAGCTCACTAGCTTGTGTGCAGACCTTGCTCCAGGGAAACTGCCTGAATCTGTGACAATTGATTTGTTGATTGTTCTGCATTAGATTTCTTAAAAAAAAAAAAAAAAAAAAAAAAAAAAAGGCTCTGCTACTAAAAAGCTTGGAAATGAGGCTCTGATGTGATAGATTTGGGACAATCAGACTAGATCCTGAGAGGCTCTCCTGCCTCCCAAATGCACGAGGTTTACTGGGCTATAAATAACCAGGCTGCAGACTCTGAATCACATCTAAAAAGGGAACTGAGAGCACCTTCCTGACAAGCAGCCGACAGACTCACAGCCCAGCCGACAGAGGCCTGGAGATGCCAGCAGAGAAGCGTCAGCCAGCAGCCCAGGTGGCCTGATGCGGGTCGTCTCCCTCCCGAGGGGCTGTGAGTCTGCAACCGGTCCTTCAGGCGCTGTGGCCGCCCGGCCACCCCTCGGGGCAGGTGCAGAAGGCGATGGCGGCGGGCACGGCACCCAGAAGGGTGGTGATGACACGAGGCACGGGGCAGGCCAGGAGGACGGGGACCTGGACGGGGGCCCCACGAGTGAAGCCAGACTCAGGACAGCCCACCGATTATTAGTACAAAGAACATGTGTGCACTCGGCTTGGCCCCAGTCCACCCAAGCCCCAGGAGGTGCATGAGAAGTGAGGGATGTGTGGTGACCCTTAACAGGCATTTCCAAAAGAGAACACTTTCTGGAAACAAGCTGCGTGGGAGGCCTGGCAGGTGCAGCTCGTCCCCAAGCTCAGAGCCCACCCTCGAAGGCCCGCACCGCCCAGAGAAGCTCGGAAAGGCCCACCCGGACAAGCCAAGTCAGGGACACACCCACCCCAGTTGCACCCAGACTGGGACAGTCCAGGGGACCCTCAACTCACCCCCAAAGAGCTGAGCTCTGGGGACGAAGACCGCCCATCCTCCCAGGTCCTCCTGCCCTGGGTCCCGGGCCACCCCTCCATGCCAGGGATGTTAGGATGTATAGGGTAACAATTCAGTACTCTCCATGCTGACAGGATAAACAATCTACTCAGTACCTCACCAAGCCGGATGACTCTTCCCAGAGAGCCCTGGCTCCCAGGAGGGCCGAGGCAGTAGTGGGGGGTCGGGGGGGGTTCAGGCAGGGGAAGGGACAGGGTGGCTCCCTCCCCAGCTGGCCGGCCCGGTGCCCAAGCTGGGGGACCAGGCAAGCAAAGCAGGCCCAGCTCATAGGAGGACGGAGGTGAATGCCAGCAAACCAAAGCCAGAGCATTTTGGGTGAAAAACGCGTGGGGTCCACCTAGGACACATCCGAAGCATATGCAAGGACAGCAAAACACAGGGACACGTGCTGGGTGGTCACTGCAGTTGCTGCTTCAAAGGGTAAGACTACAGTCACCACAAGAAGTGCCCAAAGTGTCGGACAGATTCACTGTCCGCTCAGGACAGAGATTACAGCGAGACCAAGCACAGAAGGAACTTCCTGAATTTGAGAGAGATTATCTACCAGAAATTCCGCATCCTGTGTACGTCAGACAGACTCTCTGATGAAGCAGGCCACAGAAGGGATGGCGGAGACCCCCACCAACCTGGCCAGGCGGCTCCGAGCCCAGGGAGGGCGCGAGCGCGGCTCCCACACTGGCCTCAAGTCTGACGCAGCTCCAACTCCAACAGGGCCTGTAGCTGAACTTGGGATCTAATTCCAAACCTTATTTTTTAAAAACACTAAATGTGTAAGAATAGCCAAAACATTTTTGAAAAAGAACAAGAAACAAGAGAGCTGGCCTACTGGATATTAGAGCAAACTATGAAACGAGGGAAATTCCGACAAGGAGGCGTCAGGGAGGTGGGAACTCAAAGAGCAGGCTTTGCGACCAGCCATCCTGGGTGAACGGGGGGGGGGGGGGGGGGG